CCGTCGTCGCCGTCGTGGAAGTTGCGGCTGAGGAAGTTCTCGTCGCTCGCGCCGGCTTCGACGAAGGGCATGTTCCAGAGGACGTAGTCGAAGTCTCGGAACGACTTGGGGAGTTCGATCGCTTGGAAGTCGCCCGCCACCGCTTCGAGCTCGAAGCCGCCCAGCCGCGCCGTGACGCGGGCGTTGAGCACCGCCAGCGGGTTGATATCGACGGCGTAGACCTTGCTCTGAGTCTTCAGCGCTACGGCCCACGAATCGGCGCCCGACCCCGTGCCGATCACCAGCACCTTGTCGCCGCGCTCGATGGGGCCCTCGGCGATCCAGTCGTAGTACAGCTTGTCGAGCTTGTCGGGCTGATAGACGGTAGGGAACAGCGGGACAGAGAGTTGCCGATCGCTCGCAGGGGCGTCGCGGAGCAAGTCTTCCAGGCTGCGATAGGTGCCGACGTAGCCGGTGCTCCAACCCTCGTCGTCGTAGCGGACCCAGTGCCACTTGGGGTCGTCGGTCCACTCGTGCGGCGGCCAAGTGGCGTGCGACGGCCCGGTCGAGGGCAGATGCTCGGGCGCCGGCAGGCTGGTCGGGGCTTCGACCCACGCCCGCGGGATCAGCGAGAACGGTGACACCACCGCCACTGCCCCCACGACCCCTAAGGTAACGCCCAGCAAAAGTCGCGGAAGGTCGCGCGGCGTGAGGAGAGGCTTCTTCATCGCCCCATATTCGCCGACCGATCACGCCGCCTGCAACTAACTTTGACAAAAGATTGCCGGCCCGGCGCGCGCAGCGGCACGGCGGGCGCCCCCGAAAAGTGATGCGCCCGCCGTGTCTGCACGTCAGGTAAAGAGTACCGACCGAATTGTCGCGCTCACGCAACGGCCGCTTGGGCGGCTTCGGCGTTCACCTTCTCGGCGATCTGCGACAGCTTCTTGTCGGCGGCCTCTTCCTGGGCGATGTTCTGTTTCAGCAGCTTGAGGGCCTTCTTGTAGCCCAACGCCTCCGCCCAGGTGCAGAGCGTGCCGTAGGTGGCGATCTCGTAGTGCTCGACCTTCTGGGCGGCGGCGATGAGCAGGGCGTCCTTCACCTCGGGCGCGGCCTCCTCTTCCATCAGTTCTTCGCCTTCCTTGAGGAGGCCCTTCATCGCCTCGCAGGTTTTGGCGCGGGCCGATTTGCCCGTTTCTTCGAAGGCCTGCTCGACACGCTCGACGTGGGTCTCGGTCTCGGCGAGGTGGCTCTCGAAAGCCTTCTTGAGTTGCGGCGACGTGGCGTTCTTCACCATCTTCGGCAACGCCTTGGTGAGTTGGCGCTCGGCGCTGAGCACGTCGCGGAGTTCGTCATGAAAAGCGTCGGCTAGGGTTTCCATCGACATGGTGTTGTCCTGATCGTTTGGGAGTGTGCGGTGAAGAGCGCGGCGTGACGTTGGCCGACTCTTAGTCGTCGATATGGAAGCAAAGCCTGTACCGAACGCCCTGACTTTGGCGCGCAACGCGCACTGGTTGCCTGTCAGCGGGCTTTCGTCGCTTGCGACAACGAAGAGCCTTCGATGTCGCGGCGTAGCGTGGCGGCAAAGCGGCCAGCCTGAGCGGGCGTGGATCGCCCGTGATGGAAGGCAGCCGTAACGCCGCTAGCGACTCGCCAGACAAAATTTTGACAGCGGGCGCCGTCGAGCGCTACGATTCCCATAGCTGCCCTCTCACCGAGGAGCGACGCCATGACTCTCCTTTCTGAACCATTGACGCCGGTTCCCCCCGCTGAACGGCCCGGGGTTGCCGACCGCCTCGACTTGCCCGAGCCCCCGCGACGGGTCCCGCCGGTGAGGCGGGTGCAGACGTGCTACGCGCTGATGCACATCGCCGCGGGCGCCGGCGTCCGTGACTTTGCCGACGGGGAGTACACCGAGAGCGACACGACGCTGGAAGAGGGGATCGTCCGCCAGAACGATTACCTGCTCGACGAAGTCGGCTGCACGCGGCCGGGCTTTCGGTTGCTGGAGATCGGCAGCGGTTACGGCCGGCTGCTGAGGCAGGCGCGCCAGCGCGGCGCCGTTGGCGTTGGCGTCAACATCTCGCCGGAGCAAGTCCGCGACTGCCAAGAGCAGGGCCTTGAGGTCCACTGTTGCAACTACCGCGACCTGATGGAGGCGCCGGAGTGGCAGGGGCGGTTCGATGGCGTTGTCGCCAATGGATCCCTCGAACACTGGGTGCAGCCCGAGGACGTGAAGGCGGGCCAAGCGAACGCGATCTACAACGAGGCGTTCGAGATTGCCCAACGGATGCTCGATCCACAAGACGCCGACGCACGCTTCGTGACGACGGCGATCCACGTCCCCGAGCCGCTCGACCCCGACGCGCTGCTGACCGACTGGCGCCGCCTGCCGAAGGGTTCGTCCGAACGGATGTTCAGCCTGCTGCACCACTGGTTCGGCGGTTACTACCCGACCTACACGCAACTCGCCGAATGCGCGCAGCCCTACTTCTCGCTCGAGAAGCAAACCGACGGCACCACGGGCTACGGCGCCGCCAGCCAGTACCGGATGAGCCGCATGCGGCGGGCGCTAGCGACGAAGCCCAAGGTGCTGTGGAAGATCGCGCAGTCGCTACTGCGCCGCCCCCGTCGGACGTCCGAATTGCTGTACGCGTACTTCATCGCCGAAGCGTGGGACTGGCAATTCCGCGGCGAGACGCCACCGACGCGGTTGCTGAGGCAGACGTGGCGGCGGAATGCGACGCTCGCAACTTGAGACGGGTCGTGCGAGCCGGGAAGCGTTAGAGCGTGCTTCACTTGGCCGTAGCGTTTCTAGCCTCGCTCTGATCCACGGAGCAACGTGGGGGACGTCTCGCGCAGAGACGCAGAGGCGCAGAGTTGGATGCTTTCAAGACTCACGCAAAGCCGCCAAGGCGCGAAGACAAAGTCGTTGAGAAATGGGCGCAGCCGCAAACGATCAAACAGCAACACGTTCTTTGCGGCTTGGCGGCTTTGCGTGAATCTTCGCTGTCTACCCTCTGCGTCTCCGCGCCTCTGCGCGAGACGCTACGGCAATATGAAGCACGCTATAGCTCCCGGAGTGCGAAGGGAACCCACTTCACTCCGGGAGCTAACGCTTCCCGGCTCGTATGGAATCAACTCGTTGGCTTATTCCGTTAGGAAGAACCAGTATCGGAAGGGATAGGTCGACTTCGGACCCGTCACGCGCCGTTGGTCGACTCCTTCTCTTCCGACTTCGGCGTTTGCTTCCGCTCCGCCGGCAGAACGTCGGCGAGGCCCGGGACGTCGTCGGCGCCGGCGGGGACGTGGAGGCTTGAGCCTTCGAGGTCCTCGGCCGTTAGCGGTTCGTAGCGGCCGCCGAGGATTTTAGCGAGGAACATCTCGGTCACGGCGTTGAAGCTCGTCGAGTTCTCCGGGCGGGCGAAGCCGTGGCCCTCGTCGGGGTAGAGGGCGTAGGTGACGGGGATGCCTTTCTCCTGCATCGCCTCGACGATCTGGTCGGCTTCTTGCTGCTTCACGCGGGGGTCGTTGGCGCCCTGACCGATGAGGAGCGGCTTCTTGATGGCGTCGACCTTGTTGAGTGGCGAGCGGGCTTCGAGTGACTTAATACCTTCTTCGGTGGTCCAGTCGCCGACGCGTTGCTTCATCACCGGCATGAACTGGAACCAGTACGGCGGGACGTTGTTGAGCAGCGTCACGAGGCTCGACGGGCCGACGACATCAACGCCGCATGCAAACACGTCGGGCGTGAACGTCAGGCCGACGAGCGTCGCGTAACCGCCGTACGAGCCGCCCATGATGCAGACCTCGTCCTGCTTGGCTACGCCGCCATCGACGGCCCACTTCACCGCGTCCAAAAGATCATCGTGCATCTTGCCGGACCACTCGCCGTCGGCGGCGTTGACGAACTCTTTGCCGAACCCCGTCGATCCACGGTAGTTGACGCTCAGCACGGCGTAGCCGCGGTTGGCGAGCCACTGGTGAGTCGAGTTGAACCCCCAGCCGTCGCGGGCCCAGGGGCCGCCATGCACGTCGAGCACCATCGGCAGCGGCTCGGCGGGGACGCCATCGCCATCGGGGTCGCTGCCGACCGGGAGCGTCAGGTAGCTGACGAGCTTGAGCCCGTCGCGGGCCTCGATCACCGGTGTATGCATCTTCGCTAGCGGGTACTCGGCGATGTCGTCGCGGCTGTTGAAGAGGAACCGCATTTTCGCGTCCCCTTCGGCCTTACGGTCGTAGACATAGAACTTCATCGGGCCGTCGTCGAGCACGTAGGCGACCGTCCACTTCGAGTCGTCGAGCGTCCGGCCGCTAACGACGAACTCGCCGTCCGAGCCGTCCTGCTTGCCGAAGGCTTGGAGGAACTCAATGTCGGGGCGAATCGCCTCGTCGAGGATCTTCCACTCGGTCTTGCTATACGTGAACGAGACGGCTTGCAGCGTCTTCTCGGTCGGGTGCGACATGACGCCGCCCACGTCGGCGCGGGGGTCTTCGGCGACGAGCTTGGTCTCGTTCGTGTCGAGGTTGCGTGAGAAGAGGCCGGCCGTATTGCGGTCGCGGCTGTCTTCGTAGAAGAGGACGTTGCCAGTCTTGTCGAAGCCCGCCGGGCCGCTGTTCATCGCATCGACGCTGGTGAACTCTTCCATCGGCTCCCAGTCTTCGTAGCCCTTGGGGCCGGGCTCGTCGCTCTTGGGCTTGAGCCACACTTGGCCGGCGTCGGGGGTGAAGGTCACGGCGAGGCGCACGTTGAAGTCGTCGTCGGTCACGAAGCCGGCGACGCCCGGGTTCTCTTGCACGAGCGACTTCTCGCCCGTCAGGACGTTGACGCGGTAGATGTCGTGGAAGCGGTCGTCGCGGTCGTTGAAGCCGATGAGCACCTCGTCGGGGAAGCGCTCGCTCGAGCCGGAGAGCTCGCCGCGGACGCCATCAATGGGCGTGAGGTCGCGGGTCTCTTTGGTTTCGACGTTGGTGGCGTAGACGTGCCAGTTCTCGTCGCCACCCTTATCCTGCGTGTAGAGGATGTACTTGCTGTTGTAGGCCCAGCCGTGCGAGCGGATGCCGCGGAGCTTGTCGTCGGTGACGGGCTTGGCGGCGTCCACGTCGTCGGCGGGTCCGACCCAGACGTTGAGCACGCCATCGACGGGCTTGAGGTAGCTGAGGTACTTGCCATCGGGGCTAAGGCGGGCCTGTGCGCGGTCGGGGTTGCCGAACAGCACGTCGCGGGGGATCAGGGGCGTGGAGTTGACGCCCTCGGCGGCGGCGCCGGCGATCTTGGTCATGGGCTTATCGGCGACGTTCGTCGTCTTAGCGGGGGCCGTCCGATCGCGAGAATCTTGCGCGGCGGCGACGGACTCAATCGGCCCTTCGGCGCAGCCGCTGGCAAACAGAGCGAGCAGTCCGAGGAAAGCGGCGAGCTCGGTTAGGGTTCGCATCGAAGATGACGCCTTGCGGCGTGGTGCGCGGGATGGGCGGCGGTGAGACATGGCGAAAAGTCCTCCCTGAAGCGGCGGCCGCTCGCCGAGCCTTCGTGGCCGGCGACGACATGGTGAGTGCGGGTCTTCCCTGACCGCCGCAATTAGAGTCTTGCGGGCGGATCGGCCCCCCGCATTGGGGCCTTGCTGGCGATCCTACCGCCAACCGGCCCCCGTTGCCTACCAGGGAGAAGCGCAGCCCTACCAGGCAACAGCTTGGCTACGCGGGGCAATCTGGCGAAGTTCGCACGGCTGCGGCGTGTTCGGCGGCGATCGGGCAAGTAAGCTGCCGGTCGTGACGCCTGCTAGCACGCCCGCCGCCTCGCCCCGCCGCGCCGCTGAGATGCGGTTAGCGGAGCGTCGCCTTGCGCCACGCAGCCCCGCCGACCTGCCGCTGATCTGGGTAGGCGTCGCCGTGGCCGTTGGCNNGTTGGCGGCCTGCTGGCGCCCGCAGCGGCGTGGCTGCGGCCCGAGTGGCTCGTGTTGTTAACGGTCGTCTTGGCAGCGACATGGGTCGTGTTACGTCGCCGCACGAGCGAAGCGCTGGCCGCCGCCTGGCTGCTGGGAGCCATCGCGCTGCTCGCGGCGGCGTGGTCGGGCGCGTCGTGGCGGCTGTTTGCTCAAGACGACATTGGGCGCTTCGCGCACTTGGAGGCGGAGCCCGTGTGCCTTGAGGTCGTCGCCACGGCGCCGCCGACGCACTACCCCGCCGAGACGCCAACGGCCTTCCGCGCGATCCCCTCAACCGATCGCACGGTCGTCGCGGCGCGCGTGGTGAAGCTGCGTAGCGCCGCCGACTGGCGCGAGGCGAGCGGCCGGTGCGAAGTCACCATCGCTGGAGACGCGGAGAACATCCGGCCGGGCGACCGGTTGCGGGTGTTCGGTCAACTGAGTCGTCCGCTCCCGGCGATGA